TGTGTTTGCTAAAAATAAGCGATTGTCTGAGCATAGTTGCAGCAGACGATCACCACTATCTGTTCGTTGTGCCGGTATACTAAAATACCCACCTAAATGCCTTTCTGTTTGGTTTAGTCTACCTATCTGCGCATTAAAGTCACCTGCTACGAGTAATATGTCTGAACATTTAGCTTTCTGAAGAAGTTCAGATAGCTTTCTGTAAAATACATTGTAGCGGTAAATAAATCCCCAAAATAAATAGCTCTGTAAGTTTTCGACATTGGATGCTCACCATATGTTTTAGTGGACTCATCTAGCTGAAGGCGCTCGGTCATGCATCCGCACCAGATCACGTGTGGTAACGCCGTGCTCAACATCTACCGCCAGATTAGATCAGAGAATTCCGATATATTGGTAATCGCCAAATACACTCTTCCGATCTCCTCGACTCTGTCTTTTGATTTCTCTGGGTGGGAACGAAATACATTAGGTGTTACTGGTAGAAGCGTTATCAAACACTGAATACCTGTGACATCATCATTGGTGAGACCGACGTGATCTGGTACACCTAATTGCAACTGTGAGTCTGTTCCTTTTTGGGATTTTTATACATCATTGCCTTATTTTTTATTTTTTTTTTAAATTGTCATTTTTTCGTGTTTCTTCTTGGATATATATATATTTTCCCCTCGTTCATTAGCGTACTTCATACTTCATCATGACTGAACAGACACCTAAAGTACTCAAGCTTAAGACTTTGTCCCCGCCTTCGTTTCAACTGATGCCTTTCTGGCCCGACAACATCGAAGCCTCGTTTTGCTACGCAGAAGCCGACTTCTCCGAGCACGGCGTGATCGACACACGTGCACAATTCCTCGCTGTAGTCAAGGCACTACCGCGCGAATTCAAAAGGTACGTAGCACCTAGTATATTTACTAGTGATGTTTCCGATCCTTACGAAATCTTAAAACGCTCGATTCTTAAACGAGGAGACCTAACCGATCGACAAAGGTTAGATCAACTCTTCAATAACATCGACCTGCAACACGGTTCTGCGACGGACATGTTGCAACGGATGAGAGAGGTAATAGGCCCAAGAACTTTCGACGAAGGTCTATTCAAACAACTCTTCTTGTCAAAACTTCCCCAACAGGTGCAAGCAGTTCTGGTCTCGTTCCAGAACAACGCCTTAGACGAGCTAGCTGCATCAGCCGACCGCATTTTAGAAATTACGAAAACTTCTACTACCGAGGTATTTTCAGTCAAAGAAAAACCTCAAACGACTCAGAATGATATAACCGAGTTATGTCACACAGTCACGCGTTATCTTAGTCTTCGTACCGACCGTAAGAGATCGCGCACCCCACGTAGAAGCATGTCACGTAAGCGATCTGTCTCTAGACCACGAGAGACAGATAACCCCGACTGGTGCTGGTATCATAACCAGTATGGAAAGTTTTCCAGAAATTGCAGAAAACCCTGCAATTTTCCCAACACGAAACCGAGTGACTCGAAAGCTATTCGGGAAACCTCCAAGCCGGCACGCGTTAACGGCAACCGTAGCCGGCGAACAAAGCCGTCTGTTATTCGTCACAGATGTGACAACGAGAGTTCGCTACCTCGTCGACACTGGCGCAGAAGTTAGCGCTCTCCCGGCAAATCCTAACGACTGGCTTCACAAATCGACCCTAAAATTACAGGCGGCAAACGGAAAACCGATCGCTACGTATGGCAAAAGGTACGTTTACTTTAACGTGGGTTCACACAAACCCATTCACTGGATCTTCGTTGTCGCAGATGTTTCTATGCCAATCATTGGTATGGACCTTCTACAACACCATAATCTGATCATCGACACGCGAAAACGGAGGCTAGTAGACGGAAACACTAATTTATCCGTTTGCGTAACTTCTTTTACTGGTTGCAGACTATCCCCAGTCACAGTTAAACATATGATAGACCCACTCTATCAGCCACTATTCGATAAGTACCCTGGGATACAACAAACTCAACCGAAACTGCCGTGTGTAACCAGAAATGTTACACATCACATCACGACTACAAGACCACCTGTATTCTCTAAAGCACGACGACTAGCCCCTGAAAAGCTAAGGTTAGCGAAAAACGAATTCGATCACATGATGGACTTAGGAATCGTGCGACCGTCAAGTAGCCCATATGCATCTCCGTTGCACATGGTCCCTAAAAAGGATAGCAACGATTGGCGTCCAACTGGTGAATATCGGCGATTGAACGCGAAAACCATTCCCGATCGTTACCCGTTGCCTCACATTCACGATTTGACAGCTACTTTGAAAGGTACAACTGTCTTTTCGAAAATCGACTTGGTTAAAGCGTATAACCAAATCCCTATGGCTACTGACGACATACAGAAAACAGCTATTATAACTCCCTCCGAACTCTATGAATTTTTGAGAATGCCTTTCGGTCTAAGGAATGCTGCTCAGACATTCCAAAGATTCATAGACGACGTTTTTCGAGGTCTCAACTTCGTAGACGCGTATGTTGACGACTGTCTAATCGCAAGTCCGGACAGAGAAACACATCTCAAGCATCTGGATCTTGTTTTCGAACGACTACAAAAACATGGCATTACTGTAAACGTTCAGAAATGCCAAATTGGAACCGACTCATTAGACATTCTGGGACACACTATCGATGCTCAAGGTATCCGACCCCTTAGAACCAAAGTGGCGGCCATTCTGGATTACCCAGAACCGACCACCGTCAAGCAATTACGCACGTTTAACGGCCTGGTAAGTTTCTATAGACGTTTCATACCGAAATGCGCATTACTTATGAAACCTCCGACCGACCAACTTCGTGGAAATGCGAAATCCATTAATTTGGACGACACCGCACGAAAAGCATTCTCCACAGTTAAGGAACTGATTGCTAAAGCAACAATGCTCGCACATCAGGACACCCGAGCACCCATTAGCATCGCAGTAGACGCATCCGACTCGGCTATCGGAGGAGTCTTACAACAATGGATTAACAACTCCTGGCAACCCTTGTCATTTTTCTCTAGAAGGTTGCTAGACACCGAATCGAGGTACAGCACATTCGGTAGGGAACTCCTAGCTATGTATTGTGCTGTACGGCATTTCCAACACTATATCGAAGGCCGTGAATTCACTCTTTTCACGGACCATAAACCACTCACGTTCTCGTTAAGCTCTCCTTCTGACAAGTACTCACCTCGTAAGTCTCGACAACTGGACTACATTTCGCAGTTTACTTCAGATATTCAACACATCTCTGGAGCAAACAATGTAGTTGCAGACGCTTTATCTCGCATAACTTCCTTGAACAGTTTCCAAGGAATCGACCTACTTAAACTCGCCGAGCTTCAAAAAGAAGACAGTGATCTTCAGCACGAGTTATCGCATCGACGACCATTCGAATCAGCATACGAAGGACCCTTCAAAGTTCTTCAACGTGAATCTAAGTACTATATAGTCGACAAGAACGGAACCAACGATAGCATCAGCATCGATCGCTTAAAAGCAGCGTATTTAGAAGGAAATCCTATTCACGTCGACTTTCCTTCGGTACAATCGCACAACGCGACTCCTACACTCATAGTTCCTCAACCGACAACCAACACTAGCGATGATACTCCGAATGTATCTGAAAATAAACCTAAAACGACGCGTTCTGGAAGAAGAGTAAGATTTCCAGAACATTTAAACGACTACTGCACGTAAGGCACTACTCGACATTTTATATTATCTCGATCTTTCTTCTTACGATATACAATTTTTTTTAAAAAAAAGAATTTTAATATGCTTATATATTTATACTATTTTACTTAAAAAAACATTTTTTAACGCTATTATGTGTGCTTGAGTATATTTTCCATTTTTTCGCCGACATTGTGTTTTTACGTATATACGAGTGTATTTCGACATGCACTTACACTTTCTTTTTTCTTTTCCAGGACGGCTGGAAAAGAACGATGCAGTTTACGAGGAGTCGAAATTTTCGTTGTAACTTTTTCTTTTTTTACTATGTTGTACCTCGGTCCCATATAGTAAGGAAAGACGACCAGACGCTGCTACACTTAGTAAGCTATCAGAAGAGTGTTTACCAACGACAAACTCGTTGGGTTTAAACTTCTGGCTGGCCACGTCTTAGGGTCGTCACTGCCCCACTAGGAGGGGAGTGATCTGTAGCGGTAAATAAATCCCCAAAATAAATAGCTCTGTAAGTTTTCGACATTGGATGCTCACCATATGTTTTAGTGGACTCATCTAGCTGAAGGCGCTCGGTCATGCATCCGCACCAGATCACGTGTGGTAACGCTGTGCTCAACATCTACCGCCAGATTAGATCAGAGAATTCCGATATATTGGTAATCGCCAAATATACTCTTCCGATCTCCTCGACTCTGTCTTTTGATTTCTCTGGGTGGGAACGAAATAAATTAGAAGGTGTTACTGGTAGAAGCGTTATCAAACACTGAATACCTGTGACATCATCAACATCTTTCACTTCATCTGGGCTACAGTCGGTCGGAGCGAAGGTAGAAACGACAAAAAGGAAACGACGTGTGTACCAGCACGGCCCACACCTGTTGAGGAGGTTTGGATATGAAAAGTTGCTTGAACAGGCTATCATCGTAGGTTTTTGGCCGATTACCTCTCTCATTCTTTGCAACATCAAATATATTTTCCAACCTCCTAGCTTCTGTCTTTTGATTCCACTTGATGGATGCGATTCAATACAGCAGATGTTACTGGTTAAATCGTTGGAAAACCAGGAATAACTATGGCATCTTCAAGATTTTAACATTGAGTGATTTGTACTTCGAATCTGTTTCCCGAATAACCGGCGACTGCACCTTCGATTAACTCATTCAAGGGAAGGCTAGATGCTCACAGAAGTTTGCAAGAAAAAGAATAACATAGGCAATAGGCTCTTCGTCTATTTCTTCACAATTCTGAAATTTGGAAGAGTTGCATTCACATCAACCAATCCCAAGGCCATTCATCATTGGCCGAAGGTCGTCGGTATGGCATAGTTTTGTCGCCGTTTCGGTTCTTGATGTTAGTACTTGTCGTGGAGTATTGTTATTTGTTTCGCCTATTGTCAGATGTATAGCAATTTCCTTCACAGATCCACAACACTACAATGACGTGTTCATGGAGAAACGGCAAGTTTGGTGTGGTTAATGCAGAATTATGTACAACGTCCCAAGCAATCAACAAAGAAGAAATAAATGAGATATTCCGTTTAAAAATAGAGGAGGACTAACGGGGAAATGCCCCAAAACTCTCCTTTTTACCTCCTGTCGTTAGGCCTGTTCTTAAGTTGTGGCTTGGTAATTTTCAGTAAATACCATTTCTTTTAGTTTTTTCCGTTAGTGACATTGTCGCTAACTCAGTTTTACAATGTTTACCCATTTCTTATAAATGGGCCTTCCTATGAGTTACCTAGTCTAACTATTCAACTAGAACTATGTGACCGATTTACGGCCTCTATTCAGGCTAATATTTTGAGGCACCTACAAATTTCTATTTGGATATTTAGTGAAAAGCATGTTTCCTATTTTATGCTATTTAAAGTGTAATAATATGACGACTTATATTTTCCTGTCGTTATTGTTAACCAGTCAGCGTCTGTTGACATGTGCGACGTGTATGGATCGGTACGACGACGTCATCTAGTCATAAGCTTTAGCGAAAAGAATGTATAAATTGATAAGTTTGTGGTTCATTATACATAAACAGTATTGTCGAATTTTAAAAGTGGGTTTGTTGTGAAGCCTTTCTTTACTGAATTAGTTCTTTCTTGTGACTTTAGTTACGACTGATTCTACCGTAAAATGTCACATACATGCATAGGATCAATCCCAATTGTTTACAGTCATTTAGTAGCGTCTGAATACAGTGATGATCTGAAGAGTAAAAAAGGTACAATTCTTGTCAATCGTTAGTTGAATTGGTAATTTTTACACTTTACGAAGTCACCATTCTTGTAATTAGTTTTCAGAATTTTTGACAAACCGGTTTGTGCACATGGGCAGTATCGTAGTTCACACACAAACCAAGTGACTTGTGTGGAGCATATGAATTCGGCGTCCGATTGCGTCGATATTTCTGTTCAAATAAATAAATTCACAAACATTATCATTCTGAATATAACGAAATACACACGCTTATAGTTTTAATTTCGAACTTCCTTTGTAGAACATGGTTGAAAAGACTGAAGATTTTAAGAACTCATTAACAAGCTTGGTTAACGATTTAGGGTACATTCTGTCTGATAGTTTGCGGCAAGTGGATGGCGATTTCGATTTTGAGATGTCTGTCACTACAACATGTGATCTCGACACTCGACTCATGCTGATGCTTGACAAGAGTATGATGCCTGAGTCTAACACAGACAATTTCATACCTGTTGAGAATGACTGGGTGAAGTTTGCCGCAACGGCCTCTGCATATGTCTACAGAAATGTTGGTGAATCGGTTTCCAAACCTCTTCGAAGATGGCTGGCGAATGCTGCCAGTGCTGCGATTCTCGCTGGTCTACTTGCAGAACTGCCCGAGTCGTCGGATTCAGATGGAAAAAATACTTCTGATGAAGAGACACCTGTCGAAAATGTCTCCACACCTGACGGAGTAGTGGAGCATCGTCAAGATGGTGCCTGGTACTATGGCTGTTGGACCGTTGACAATCTTGCCAGCAGTTGTGAAATGATGAATGTGATCGATGTTGAAATGACAGATGCATGTATTCGAGTGATGATTGCTGCTGTTGTTAATTATTTTCAGGAGAACAGATTCGCTCCATGTGGTTTGTTGAGAGACAGTTATGCAAGTGCGATACTGAGAAGTGATCTAATGGATAGGTATGGGTTAACAAACGAACATGATAAAATCGAAGCGATGCGTATTACTGGTAGTTGGGTCTCGAAACTGTATGTGTTTCACATGGCAACGAAGCATCGTGATTTGGAACACCCAATCAGACCTATAAATAATGTTGGTTTGGTGCGTCCTCTGAAACTAGATATCAGTCAGTATTTCGAGGACTTGACAGCTAGATTTATCCGTACACGAATCGCACATCAGATTGCCAGTCGAATGGTGCGATCTGTGTGTATTTTGTTTTTCGAAGATTTGAATGAATTGATTGAGTTGCGGAAGCTGTACCGTCAAATATCCAGTGATCCATTTTATTATCACACTGACTGTGAATATTTGACGAAATCATCTGGACCGTCAGTCAGTGACAAGATGAGTAGTATATTTGGTCGATTGGTTACCTATTTGAGTGTTTTTGAGCCGAATAGTGAACTGTTTGATTATCCACAGTTGAAGATGAATGGTAAAACTCGCGAGCAACACTATAATGATTACAGTAAGAATTGGAAGGAGATGCTGGAGATAATTTATGCAGGGTTGTATATGCCAAGTGAAAGTGTAGTTATGGAACTACTTAAAAGATACCATTTTACAGAAAATTTGCCACAAAATGAAGAACTTTTGATAGAATGTTGGAATGAATATGGTGTCGATTCAAATATATGGGGTGATATTTCAACCATTGATCATTTGTATTCATTGGTAACTCAAGGATTGGAAGAAGATTCTGAAGACGATTCATGAAGAGTTGTATGTGCCAAAAGGAAGTGGAGTATTGAATATACTTAAAAGTAGATGCAAGATTCCAGAAAATATTCCACAGAATAAAGAACTTTTGATAGAATGTTGGAATGAATATGGTGTCGATTCGAATATTTCTCATTATATCGAACTCATAAATCTTTTGTATTCATTTACTACTCAAAATTAAAACTTTGCTACAAATAGATTTCAATATTATTCTTTACATCCGTAAAGTTTCCTTTCTTTTTATCAATGGTGTCGCTGTAGTTTTGTTAACATATCGGTCGTTAATAAAAGCACTTTCGGTATAAGTCAACTAAAATTCAAATAATTTATTCTAAAATTATCGACCAGAGTTTCTGAGAACCGCATTAGTGGTAAATTAATTGTTGCTGTATATCTGTCATTACATTTGATTGTTTGAGTCGGTTTATCCATACTATTATGTATGTGTGCCTGTGCACAAAGTAAATACTCGTTAGCTTTTCATGTGTTAGTATTTCGTAGGATTCTGATAAATATTACACCACGTTCAAGTTGCTTAAATCATCCGACTGAGTTAATGCGAAAATGTATGGCATAGCAAACCAAACCAACTGTAAGGTTTAAACAAATAGTCAATATCATCAATATGAAGTGGTTATTGGAATGATAAAAGCAAGACTAATCTAAGTTCAGTAGGGTGTATATTTTTAATGCATTTTTATTAATTTGATTCTTACCGAATCTGATGTGTAAATCTAACTAACTTGATATGCTTAAAACCTATTACTCAGTAATAGATGTGTTTGCACGAATGTGTAACCGTCTCAGCTGTCATTTGCATATATTGGCATCACGAGGGCGAAAACTAAGCATATTTCTCACAATGGAAAGCTTATTTTCAGTAATAAATTCCCAAATGGACCTATTGAAATTGCACATAGAAAAGTATGAAATAGTTTTAGAAATTATAAATACACAGGTATCTCCGGCTTTTTGCTGCCGATCATCGGTTATGTCGCTGAAAGTCACCGTCAGATAGATTTTTAATGGTAATAATAATAATCTGCTGCGTGAATTTACGAAGTTAAAGAAGTGTACGACTGATCCTTACGAAATCCGACCTGATGAGCTCGAAGTTGGGTGTCCATTGTATCTTCCATCCGGTTGAGCAACACTTTGTTGGAAACGTTTCCTGGTACCAACATTTGTGTGATTCCTCCATAGTCCTCAAATTTGCTCAAATCTTTCTTTGGTATCCTGACGAGGTATTCTTCTTTTCAGTCCATCGGCACTTGTTCTTCCTCCCAAATCTTCCTGAACAGAACGTGAAGCATACTTGAAGTTACCTCTATTTCTGACCCCAGAGCTTCAGCTGGTATGTTCTCAAGTCCTGCCGCTTCCCCACTCTTTATTTGTCTGATGGCCATCCTGATTTGTTCGGTCGTTGGTGTGGTGACATCTATAGAAAAGTGTATTTGTGTGCTGCTTCGATGTACGATGAATTCAATAGAGCTGGTTTATCCAAGCATTCTACCCATCTGTTCCTCGGTTCTTGAATTTCGGTGATTGGCTTGCCTTCTTTATCGTTGATTAGTCTCTCTGGTTTACTACATTTCCGTGCCGGTTTCTTCGTTGTGTCATATGATTGTCTGATATTTCCTTATGTGGAAGCTCTTTCCGCTGTCGTTGTCAGGTCTTGTATGTGGGCATCTCTCCCGTATCCAGGCTTTGTTGTCCAGCTTTTCGTCCAACTGGTTTCGCCTATTACGAAAACCGCCAAGTTGTCTCATAATTTCTGTTGCTATTTGATTGGTCCTCCCAGTCTCCCACATTGTCCGGGTATTCCATGTACTTATAAAAATTGTTGCTTTGATTGTTAGAGTGGGCGTCGGCCTCGTGACTTCCGACAAATCTCGGCTCTCATCTTGAGGCGTCATAATTCATCCTTCAACTCCCAGGGCAGAGTTTAAATAGTTTTATTTGTTTAATCTGGTTGGCGTTTTTTAGCAGGACTTTTTTACGGGATGAGGTTCTCGATCCTATGCCCAACCTTTCTACTTTACACGGGCTTGGGACCGGCATTGGCACTAAAAGAGCTATAGGTGGAGTGACCTTAAACCTACCATGGTAATGTTGGCTTATTAGCCAGAGTGATGAGGTTTCCAATTGTTTTCACATTATTTTCTTTATTATCCTGGTCTTTTCTTACCCTCCATTTCTAGTCTAGTTGACTTTTTGTTTTTACATATAAATGTTCTTAACAAGTATACGTGTGAGCAAACTGTTCGAAATGTATTGCGCTAACATATCACATAGTTCTGATAATCGTCCTCTTATTAAACTATCGAAATTTTACAATGGAACTAATTGCTTTAAATTTCTAGGAGTGTGTTCACAAAACCTTGTAGAAGCACTTCTCTCTATCCTTACTATGTACCTACTACCTCATACACGTAAATCTCTAAATGCAATTGGAGGTGACGTCTGGTGAGTATTGATCTACCTTTGAATATTATAAAGAACACTCGGTGTTTAGTAGTGTAACTAATAGAGCACCAAGGAAGCTTCTGTTCAGTGCCACCTTAACTGTCCAATAGATTCTTCCTGAAATCTCATCTCTACTGAACGACAAGTGAATAAAGACAGGTTTCCTTCCAACAGTTGGTTTTTAGCATCATTGGGATATTCCCTTCCGTATTTCGTAATAAATTTCCTCGAGTATCCTTTTTATTTTGAGATGCTCTTCCAGAAAAACTGATACCTCATTTATTTTGTCATTTGAGCATAACGTCCTAGTCCTACTGACAGGCGTTTTAACCATCGATATGGTGGGAAGAAAAATCAATTTTCGATTGATTTACTCATTGTGAGTTTTATTCAACATTCAATATCCGTTTTGATTCAACGTGAGGATCATTCACAGTAGTATTTGATTTCTTTTGTCGCATGATATTTTATTCTGTATAACATACGATAATCTTGTATTCCATTGACATGAACTATACTCAGTCTGTGATTTGTTATAAATGAGTATGTGATTTAATCCTTATTATTAATCAAAATGGGTGTAAAATCAATGTATAAACCAGTGTATTTTAAACTATTTTGATCACCGTTCGTCGTCGTGTTTTAGGGGCTAATAAATCGTCACTTATACCAGTCTTTCTGTTCTTACTTCGCATCGTGGGAATTGCAGGGGTACCTCGTTCCTAGTATAAGTGGTCAGCGGCTTTTTCCGGTACAACAATCATACACCTTTCGACTAATATGTAATGTTAATAAGTATATAGGTCGCTACGAAGCCTCAAGGCCAAGGGCTCGACTTTTGGTAAAGTCACGATTGTTAAGTGTTGAGGAGTCCCGAACTAGGACAAATGAGTAGTCCAGTAATTCCTGATTTTCAGTAGCTGTTCGACCAAATTTAGTTCGTAATGCGTAACATTAAAATATTTTCTGTTCCAGGAGCATAAATTATCTAGTATTAGTCTGTGCAGTCAGGAATATTGGTTGCTCTATGAACATTCTATCAAATAGACCGCACCGCACCGTAAAATAGGAAATAACATTTGCACACAATAAAGCCAAAAAGTGATTGTGAACGTGGGAGGTAGTAGCCAATAAACTGAAGAAAGCTTACGAACGGTAAATCTTACAATAATAAATTACAGGTCAAAATGAAGCTTATAATAAGAGGGATATAAACATACAGAATCTAATTATTGAATAATTATACCGTAAGAATGTATAAATAATATTAGTCAATTAATATGTCTCAGAAGTTATTCGTGATTTAATCTTTGCTCGGATATAACAGAATAGTTCCCCTAGTTCTAGAGAACTGAGTGGATTAAACAAAGCCTAAGGATGATAGAAAACTCCGCCCGGAGTCCCTCCGGGGGCTACTGCCGGTCCCAAGCCCGGATAGAGGAGGAGGGTTGGGCATGGGGTTGGCGTCCCCATCCCGTAGAAAACTAACTCGCTTAAAAAACGGATGATAGGATAAATTTGATGTGAAGAAAGTAGTTAGTTTGGCGACGACCATATAACAGAATAAACACTATAATAATAATAAGTGTAGAATTAGTAGTTCTAGGTGAAATTAGTCAAGGTAGTGAGTTAACGAAATTAATAAAAAGTTGATTATTATTTCTTTCTAGATGCATAAATTAGGTTTAAGTTTGTTCATTGCTACTACTTCAGTAAACTGGAAAGACTCTGAGTGTTTTATCTGCCGATAATTTTAAAGGATTGAGAAATGTCAGCGGCATACCAGGTATCAATTACATATCAAGCTATTGCATTATTTCAAGCTGTTATGACTCTCAGTCTCCCATATATATTCATTAAGGGGATCAATTAAATGAGGCATATATTCATTCGCTACCTGAGAATTACCTGTTTTGATGTAAAACATGAGTCTAAGTGTTTTACGTTAATCTCAGTATACTTACCGATTGTAAAATCCATTAGAAAACCTACCTGGAATGGACAGTACATGAATTTCTATAGCTGGGTCCCACTAAGTAGAAAAAGGGAACTTAATTCACTCTTTATTATCAAGGATCAAGCGAATAAGTTCCATTGACACAATAGATGAGGAACCATTTCAATTTCGACAGGCTCTTATTAGAAATGGTTATCCACCTAGATTCGTCGATAGCAACTTAGCACCTAGACTTCATCATGAAAAAGCATCGACAGTACAAAAGAAAACCCTGTTTATAAATATGGAATTTAAAGGAGACACGGCTGCTGAAATCTTAAATAAACGGATTTCAAAATCGTTAAATAAAACGTTTTGCGCATCTGAGCTTCGAATAGTTTTCATAAACCGGTCTACCATTCTCGGATGTGTTAAGGATAAACTTCCGCTTTGGGCCACATCAATGTGTATCTATAAATTTACTTGCTCATATGGGGCACGTTACATATGCTGCACAGAACGGTCACTTTCCAAACGCATCTCAAAACACTATCCGGCTTGGCTTTTAAAAAGAGAATGTAAAACACTTATTAGTTCTTTAATTAATTATTAAATAAGAACTTTCGTCTAAATTTGAACGAATAGTTTCGTAGTATTTGGGCGCCGAGTTAATGTGAGACATTAAAGAGGAAGAATGTATTTGTAAAATTTCAGCGAATAAATTTTGAAGTTGTGGATCACCAACGTAGATGATCTATGTCGAAATGATTGGAGGCCTACTCGAGTTAGACGTGAATGGTATGACAAACTAGATAACGTCAGAGTCACACCTCGTGGTCAGCGTTTTACGTGGACTACCCCATTGACGTATCAAGGTACCATAGATGCTTTGAAGACTGTACAACACATAGGGCGTTATTACAGAAATATATTAGTTAAAGTAGATACAAACGAAAGTAAGACCACTGCCGCATGGGCCAGTCCATGGCATACGATTAACTGATGCGTGTTGGTTGTTCCTGACCTTGACGAGGATCGATGATTTGCTCGATATTTAATGACCCGACTTCTGGATGATTTGGCTAGGGCTTAGTGACATTTCGCTGGCCCTACATTATTATTATTATTATTATTATTATTAATCTTTCCTATACATGATTCATTCAATTGACATTCATATCTCTTTTTATTACGTCTTATTAATAAATGTTTACACAATAAAAATCTTTCATTAAATATTTAATCATATTGTAATTGCACTATTATATTTTATCTTATCTTATCTGACCCATATTTATACGGATTATGCATGTTAAATGTTCACTTAATATAGATATACAGATTCCAGTTAATATTCTATATGATTCTTACTAATATTAACAATTTTATTCTATTTTCTTTGATAATCTTATAGTTCATATGTGATAATTTTAAGCGATACTCTTTACCTTGAACACCTTTCACATTCATTCATTTATCGTAAAGAATATTCTACATTCAAACATTTAGTCTTTTGATATGATGACGATCTTTAAATTGATGCACACTGCTGAAGAGTCCCTTAATAGGATGAAACAACCATCCATTGCTTTCAGGTTTTCAATGGTGATCTAATATCAATCAGTTCATGATGTCTGTGTTACACTATTTAAAGGTCATAATGATGTAAATAATGAGAATATGAGACATTAAGTAAAACAACAAATACAATAATCATAATTATAATAATAAAGGTCAAAGTAATAATAACGATAAGACGTAGTTATGTCTTATATTTTCATTATTTATAATTACTCATGATATCATCATTATGACCTTTCATATCCACTAGTTAATGGAACAAAACCATTTTAATCATCTTCATACATTCACATGTGATAATTTGTTACTAACTCATTAAGTCTATTAGTTAGTGTTATAATTCGTATTACATAATCTAATAGTATTATAATCATTCTATTACATCATCTTGATTATTCCTTGTATCACATTTCCTTACGGAATTAATACTTTCATTGTACAGGTTGATATTGAATTCATTGATAAGAGATTCCTTCGATGAACTTCATCTTTAGTGGTTCAGTGAATAATAAGTGAGCTCGAGATGATGGAGATAATTTGTAGCTCAGGTGGATGATGTTGGTTGGATGGTTTGGTCGCGGACCAAACGATGCAGCTCAGAGAACAAAACTCCACCGAAATAGGTGAGTTCGTAAATGTTAAATATACATTTAAAGATTTACACTCATCACTTTTCATATGGATATGGGGATAATGATTTTGCCTTACAGCTTCATATCTTTAACACTTCAGTAAACTTACTGGTTAAGATATTGTAGCCGGTGATGATTTTACAGTTAAAATACTTTATGGATATGACAATGATCTAGAAACGAACTCTCTGTTGTGTTGATCAGTCAATAGATGGCTTTGAAACTATCCGGTGATGTTTTTGAAATTATTTGGCTCATTCATATGCTACAGTTTAGACTGCTTATCCACCACCTCCTAGTAACTATCCAATTACCACCTTCTATAATTAATGTATTTCAGCTCAAATCACTCGAATGACCTTCTCTCCATGAAGCCAATCAGAATGATGCATATTGTCAGCTGACTAACTGTTTGAAAGTGAGCTTTTAGCAGTGCAACATGCTGATTGGTGGTTATCCAGTGAATTCGATTGAACACAGTTGGTGTTATTAATTGGCACTAGGAAAGGGATTTAATTTGGTTGAATTGCCCTGGTGATTTGTAATTCTGTAAGTCTGAGGAATATTTCGTTGTTCTGCACACTAGACATTTAATTCCTTGATTATTTTATATGAGCGTATGTGTGTTAATTGCTTACTCTATTGATTATGTGTCTGTAGTTTATTTTTGTCTGACTATGAGTATTGTAAAATACTTAATCAAATCGAGTTGTGTCACTCACCTACTCCTCTCCACTTCACTTTCCCACTTCTTATTCTGAATGTCTGTCTGGACTAACAAGTACTTGAAATAAACTCCTCTAATGTAACCCACCGCCATCACATGAACAGGGTTAGCCTAGGTAACCCTCATAGTTAAATGTCAGATTTATGTTCATCAACGGGGCACATTAGATATACATTAAGTTTCTATTTTACTAGTGATATGTCCTACTTCTTATGTGATGTCTTGTAGAGATATTAGTTGCTCTCTCAAATGAAACCCTGTCACATTAATAAAAGTAGTAAAAGATTTTCCGTTGGAACTCATTACATTCAGTTTATTAACTTTAGAAATATGGCGATAATCACAAATAGTGTTGAGTGAATCAGTGTGCAGTTACTGAGTAATCTTTTTGAAGCTAAACTATGATTTATGAACAAACCGATCACATTTAGGATAATTGGTCTTGAATTTTAGAGTGAAATTCATTCATCTATTTGGTCAATGAACGTTAGGGTTAGGTTAGGTGATGTTAGTTCGAGATGACCCCATCCCACATAAATCTAATTCTTAACCCTAACCATCAACTAGAAATCATGATCCTTATTCCTCACACATGTTTATAACTCTCATTTACCCCCAGTAAGTAGGTAAACATTCTGAAGTCGTTGATCATCCTTTTTAACATGGGAACTATACTTTTAGGACAAAAAAAGTAGATATTCACAGTGTATAAACAATCCCAATCTCTCTCGTTTGGGGCGATATTGGGGAATTTCCTCAGGACTGAGGAAATTTCGGGGTTTTGGTGCTATTTCTCCAAAGTTTACTATAGCGGCTTCCCCCAGAATTGGGAGTTCGGGATACGTTGCTTCGGTGGAATTATATGCATCATTCTCAATCATTTCAAATATTGACGTGTTATTCTTTAAATTACTGAATTCACACATCCATCAGTTTGTCCAATGGGTCTGATGTAATTTGTAGAAGATTTTTATTAACACATTGTTGATATATAGAGGGCTACAATATCAAGGCATCCATAGGAGAGACTCATTCAATCCAATTCTGAATAGAAGCAATACAGATCATTCTAAAACGCTTAGCAGCGGTGATCGATAACAGATCCGTTCTGTTTTACAGTTCTTCTCTCTATTCAAATCAATTTAATGTTGTGATATGTATCATTTTGTTTATCTTTTCTTCTTTTCGAGGTGTTTACAATGATATCAACCAAAGAAATCAATAAACATGATGCTCAACGAGAGTGTAACCAACAATTTGAGATTAATACAAATAATAATTCAATGGTAAGATTTTGTTTACAGTGTCATATTATCATATTTCTGATTATGTTTTTTATGTGACATTGACTTAATTAACTGAAGACAATGTTCTGGAAAGAGGATAGTTCTTTTGAAGCTTCCATATTATGAAAATCTTCCTATAAACTTCATCTACATATCCTATTCGTCTCTACATTACCACAACGTATATGTTTTTTCCGATTTAACTCACCATTCCATCTCCGCACATGTATGCAGCGAATTCCATACTCACCACACATGGATTATAACTTAATGAAGTACCAGCGCATTTGGGGGTCGTCTAATTCTGCTGGCGTTGGTGTCGCACTACGAGCCAAAGTTGAGGCAGCACTAATCGACTAGATCCACATTAACAGCCGATTATGTGCTGTTAGATAAGAAAACTCCATCGAAATGAGAAGAAATCGGTGTGAGAAACAATGTCTTACGGCTTATGCCAATCTGGGCCATCTTTGATGCCTTCGTGATGTTAGTCTAAATGTGAAAGTTAAGATTTATGATGCGTCGGAGATGTGTAGTGTTTGCTCCATGTATGTGAAACCTCTCCTCTCTGAGCTGAAGATGTTAAACGACTCTGTGTTTAATCATTGTTGTTTCCGACGGACTTCTTACATTCAGTGGCAGTACCATGACTGTAATGCAAAAGTCCGGCAACAGGTGTTCGGGTGCAGCGACAAAAATTCGATTGGAACACCAAATATGGTGACTTGGGCATACCCTTTGAATATCGTGCTAGCCAATTCCAAATCGTGCATTATCTTGCGACACGGGACTAGTAAAAGAAAGTAGAGAGGTGTTTAGTGCATGGGATCGTGACGCAGTATGAACAGAACTGGAATTTGCTGGCTCTTCATGATTCCCTGATTGACGTCCTAATGATAGTGCAACACAGTGGCTTGAGGGGTTATCAGACGTGACTTTATAATAAAATTCACAAATTGATCATCTACACTTATGACCAATTTCGGTTTATTTATTGTTATAATCGGATATCTTGTGTTGTATTCATAAGTGCACCATCTAAACACAAAGGCTCATTCCATCCAGTTAGGGGTCAGACTATGTTATTTCGTCGAGATAATTAATTCTAAACATGCAGCTTGTCCAATTTAATTTTTTTGAATAATTTGTTCTGGTTAGCGTTTTCTGTAACGAGTTGGTTTTCTACGGGATAGGGTCGCTAACCCCATGCCCAACCCTCCTCCTTTATCCGGTCTCGGGACCAGCAGTAGCCCACGGAGGGACTCCAGGCGGAGTTACTTGTTCAATTTACCAGATGTTTATTAAATTTCATGAAGAACAGATTTGTTGATTTAAAACAATCAGTCCATTTGATAAATTTCGATAATGGAATGAGAAGACCAAGTTTATCAGAACTATGTGATGATATATTAGCTCAATACATTTCGAACAATCGGATCATACATGTTATTACTAGTTAAGACATTTTTCTATGAAACATAAAAAGTCAACTAGACAGGGTAAACGTACAAATAAATTGCAATGATCAATTTAGATTACAGGATAGACAGACATCATCGTTCATTGTGAAAAACTGGATTGACACTGATCATAAAGTTGACATGAAATCAGCATTTGTAGTGTTATACAAAAGCTTTCAAGGACCAATATTAAGGTTTATTGAAGCCTTGGTTATACGGAAATTGAAACCCCCTTTATGTTGTTCAAGAACAATTTGTCCTTACCATTAACCTACCCTGGTAATACTGATTTATTATCCAGAGTGATGTACTTTATTATCTTATTTTACTTTGTTACGATTTACCTTTAGTCTGTCTAGTTGACCTTTTATTTTTCATGTATAAATTCTCTTACCCAGTATATTATGTGTGATCAGATTGTTCGAAATGTATTTTGCAGATATATCACACATAATTGTGATAAAGTCCGTTACTATTATTAATTCAGTTATCTGTAAGTGATTGAAATACCGTTATTGGATTTCTAAGTTAAACTATTTAAGTGACTATTTAAGCGTTTTTTTCAATTGACTGTAAATTTAGCTGGAACACACTTGGCACCTATGCGACCATGACTGTATACAACATGCTCAGTATTTCTATCAAAAGTCGACAAGCACCCGTTTCATGTTGCCTCAAACCGTGTTTATAGATTCACGTGTACCTAAAATAGTAGCTAGCTACATTAGCTGAACAGAAAGAAGATTATATCTTAGATATTTTGAATATGTTGTGATCGGGTAATCGTTCCACATGAAAACATAATCAAATATGTGAAGATTTATCAGATTATATGAAAGATGAATATCAGAAGAAAGAATAAAAAAATAACAAAAGTTTAGGAGAGTATTGAACAACACATATACTTGTAGCGGTAAATAAATCGCCAAAATAAATAGCTCTGTAAGTCTTCGACATTGGATATTGACCACAATGGTTTTAATACACTCATCTAATTAAAGGCGCTCGGTCATGTATCCACACCAGATCACGAGTGGGAACGCTGTTCTCAACATCCCCTGCAATCACTGGCCAGTCTAGATCAGTCGGTTGTCGATATATTGATAGCCTATCAAATATATATTCGAACCTCCTGGCTTCTGTCTTTTGATTTCACTTTGTGGGTACGATTCATATTAGGTGTTACTGGTTAAAGCGTCGTCAAACTCCGAATACTTGTGGCATTTTCACTACTAAACATCTTTTTTTGTCGATACCTAACAGTCATTCAAAGTGGTTGATAAATAGTCAAACTCTAGTCTTCCGAAGTTATCGCTATCATACGTTAGAAACCTGATTTATATGTTCCAAAGGAAATGGTTGTTAATCTTTACTTAACTTGGTGACAAATTTTCTTTTATTGTGTCATAAGTTTTGTCTAACTCTTTCATTTGATCAATTACACTTTTATGTCTTTTTATTTAGACTATCTTCTTCATTAGTAATCTTATATTAACTAACTTAGCTTTACTCATTTCATTCCTACTTAACGTAGTTAAACAAATATGTAATAAATCCATAGGAATTGGAAGTCGCCATGACATTTATATGATAATTTCATACACATAGTTTCCTTTATTATCTTAAATAGAGCAAGAACAAAGATTGGTGCAGAATAATATGAATTCATTTTATTTCGTTAGGTTGTAAACAGCTGATGAGAACCTAACGAAATAAAATGAATTCATATTATTCTGCACCAATCTTTGTTCTTGCTCTATATATGATAATTATTAACTAATCATCGTGTATATGAAACGAATGTAAAAACGAATGTTTTTCGTCTTAATGTTGTAGTATTTCTGGAGCCAATAACTCTTTATCGCACTAGTCTTTCATGTTCATGTGAATGGTAGTAGTTGCCATTTTCAAAGTACAATTATTAGGACCGCGGATATGATAGAGCAATAAGACAAATTATCTGAATGTTGTGGATTCTGTTATCTGTTTACCATCTAGAAACTACTATACTGACCACCGTAAAGAACAGCGCAAGCATGTTCGGGATGCGATTCTCCCCCTCGAAATGCAAAATGTTGCTTCAGGATTGGGTTGCATCGACACCCGAACTTATGATAGGAAGTTGAGTAGTTAAGCATGTCGATCGCTTCACTTATCTTGGAAGTCTCGTCAGCCTTTGTAGTCTGGTGTGTGACGAGATCTCAGCACGGATACAAAAGGCTCAACTAGCTTCTGCCAACTTGTGTTATTTATGTCTTAGGCGAGATATCCGTCTAGCAAACAAAGGATGGGTTCACTGCGCAGCAATTCGTTCTTTCCTACTTTACGGGTGTCAAACACGGTCTGTAAGAGTAGAAGATATTCGTGTGTTACTAGAATCCGCTGACAGATGTCTTTGAAGCATTGCTCGTATATCCTGGGATCATCGAGTAAGTAGCACAGTTTTTAGGAAATGCGTACTACGTAAGGATGGCAAATCAATTGATGAATTAGTGAAAATTCATCAGTTGAGATAGCTGGGACACGTGTTACGTATGCCCAAACAGCGGCTGCCTCGACGAGCGATGTTTTATAGTGTACGAGTAGGTTGGAAGAAAGCTAGGGGCGGCCAGACCAAAACATGGCGCAAGTCCATGAACTCACTGACAAATCGACTGAGCCAAGCTGGTAGGTGTAGACTACCTGGTTATGATCCGCGAGATGATAGCAACCGATGGTTAGAGACCCTGGATGACATGGCTCAGGTGCATCCACTCTTTGTATTTTTCCGAATTCTGAATTCCTCATGTCCTTTTTCTTCTTCCCGAATTTATTTCACTATATTATACTACTTGAATAATATCCTCAATCTTTCTGATTACTGCTTATCGTTTTACTAAATCTACCACTAACTGATTTGAATCGACGATCGTATCTCTGCGCTAAAGTGGTATAGCAACTTGAACTGATCTACGTACGTACGAAGTTCTATGTTGTTGCTGACTGACTTTAAAAAGTCAAACACATTAATATATTATATTTGTACTGTTAATCAGCATCTATTTCGCTTCCCTGATAATACTGACATGTACTTCTACTGATTCATATAATTTGCTTAGCACACCTGATACTGACGCTCTCGTGAACTTGATATAACATTCAATTGTACCACCACACTTCACACATTCAGTATTGATTGACTAATTGAATATGAGACTATATAAAGAGATTTCTCTAGAAGTTTCTTCTTCAACTAAAACTTCACAATGCTTTTTAGGTGTTTTGTAAATAGACTACATTATTTTACACTATGTTCATCCATTTATGCTAAATAAAGGCAGTAGGAAATAGTGGTATTAACAACAAAAGTTGATAAATGTTTCTCAGTATCTGAAGATCGTTGACTAATCTATGTACATAGGATTACTATGAATCCTGTTAACAATGTGTTTGGTGTACTTAGTTTAGATTTAACGAAGCTGTTATCTTCCGAAGTTAATTAGGATATATTTAAAAAATGGTTCCTTTCAAATCAGTTTAAACAGATGTCAGGATGCCCAA